TACTCTGTTTTTCTTTGGTGAAAAATATGCATAATTTTTTATGTATAATTTTTAAAATTCTACAATGCCACATGAGGAATAAAGAAACTCATAGTATTTGGGCTGGAAATGACTCATGTGATACAGGGATGGGTGATGGGAAAGACAGAAGGTTGGAGAAGACAGGTTAGAGAAGATCGCCGTGTTGAAATTCTTGCAGTACCCTCCTGGCATGGAAGAGCTCGACCCATTCTGTAAAGTTCGAGAAGCCAAAACAAAGACTTAACCATTTGAAATCCACAGAAATTCCAGTTCAATTTTAAGTGCAACTTTTGGTCAATTAGAATGCTCAGAATGGAACTCAAGGGGGAGAATATAGCTCAGTGGTAGAGTGTGTGCTTAGCATGCACGAGGTCCTGGGTTCAATCCCCAGTCCCTCCTCTAAAAGTAAATAAACCTAGTACCTACCCCACCCCTCGCCAAAATAAAATAGTTAAATAATACAATTTTAAAACACACCAAAAAATAAATAAATCTTCACTAAAAAAAAAAGAGAGAGAGAGAGTAAAAGGAAAATTAAAGGAATCCCCTAGCATTTTCTGACATTGATGGTCAGCCTTGTCAACCAGTTGGTAAGGATGCTGTATGTTATTTTTTGAGGTGGGTTTTATTTAATCAGTTTTTTCTTTCTTTATTTATTTAACACCTTTATTGTGATATGATTTCTGTACAGTAAACTATACATATTTCAGATACACATTTTGATGAATTTTGGTAGGTGTAGACACCCATGAAACCACCATCACAATCAAGATAGCTAGCATTTCCATCATGATTATTCATTTTAATGGAGGTACTGGAGATTGAACCCAGGACCTTGTGCCTTCTGGGCGTGCACTCTACCACTGAGGCCCCTGAGGAGGATGCTTTGAAAGGAGTCTCTGCTCTAGGTAAGGCCCACTTCAGGACAGGACAAGCAGACGGCCTCGGGCAGAGGCAGATGAGACAGAGGTGCCAGGGAGAGTGGGGAGGTCTCTCTCCACCCCACTTCCTCCCAGGTTCCGGGAGAGAAGGGGCGTTAGCTTCTCAGATGCACAGCAGCCCAGACTCAGCCGTGGTTATCAGGGGCAGATAGAAGCCTGCAAGCCCGTCTTGATTTTTCCCTTATGCTTTTCTGCCTGAATATTTAATCCCTCTTTCAGTTTCAGATCAGCACAGTGGCAGATATGATCAGCGATCATTATCCCTGTCCTGGCTGGTTGTCAACCCAGGAGAGAAACAGGATCAGCTCTGGGGAAGCACCTCCCGGGCGTGGCCTCGGGAGGCTGCAATTGCCTCTGTCAGGAGAGGTATAAACTTCCACTTCCCTCTCTGCCCGCAGAAACCGGTGTGAAATGCTCTTCCTTTGCATTCCTCTGGGCTGGTCCCAGGGAGAGCGAGGCTGGCTCTGGACAACGAGGAAATTAAAGCAGACTGCCCCAGTTACAGTGTCTCACCGGATCCTCGTGGCTTCCATGGCCCCTCCCAGGTCAGCTGGCCTCCCCCAGGCACCTTGGCCTGCCCACGCCAAGGCCATCTCGGGTCCTCAGCTCCTGTCCACTCTGAAGGACTTGCCCTGGCCAGGTTTGACGGATGCCTTTAGCGCTGATCCCTGACTTGGCCATAATCTTTCTGATGAGGTTACCCGTCTCGCTTGCCCATTCCACCTGGTGTTGCCTACACCCCCCGGTGCGCCATGCGCCATGCGGTGTGCACAACCCTGGGCCAGGGAGGGAGTGAGAGACAGGTGCTGTCCTGCTTGGTGAAACACCTGGTTACTTTACATTTTGCATAAAGAGAACTTTGCTTCAGGGAAGGCATAATGTATAAATGCTGAAAATGCGATTGCCCTTGAAAAAGGAGAATGTCTGTTCCGTCCCATTTGGGGAATGTTTGTCTTTAATCCCTATTGTTCAGGCTAACTACACGGTGAATTAGCCGGATCTTCTCCTTGCTCTCATCTGGCCACCTGCCTCGCTTCCTAGTTATTTCAAAAGCGCTTTTAACAGCATCTTCACCAATGAAAATGGTGTTTTTTTAAAAGGTTTTTTTGTTTTTTACTATTAGGTTATCTGAAAAGAATACATTTTTATATTTTATGTATTATTGTATTATTTTATTTTGGCAGTGGCGGGGGGTAACTAAGTTGATTTAGTTTTAGAGAAGATACTGGGGATTGAACCCAGGACCTCACGCATGCTAAGCATGTGCTCTACCACTTAAGCTATACCCTCCCCCTGAAAGAATAAGGTTTTACTAAGGATTGAATTGGGTATCTTTGAGAACGGTAGACTGAGAACATTTAGAAAAGCTGCCCAACGTGTAGGAATACTCTGCATAAAGGCATCAGGGGAACTGGCTGCCCAGACCAGACTTGCGGGGCTGAGCTCTAGACCAGAGGTGAGCTCGGGGAGGAGTGTCCAGCTGCCAGCCCACTCTCCGCCCCAGGTGTCTCCTGACTCCTGACAAAGCTGCAGAAAGATTGAGAAGCTGAGCAGACACTGTGACGGCCTTGTGAGGGGGACTCCCCTCTTGCCAGGCCCCCTGTGCCTTCAGTGAAATCCTGCGTGTGGCGGGCGAAGTGCCTGCTGAGACACCAGTGAGCACAGGTCAGTGATGGGAGCTCCTACAGTCTCCCTTCCTGGAGCAAAATTAGGAGGTAAGACTTTGCTCTAGGAGTGCGTCAGGGGTCCTGGCTAAGCTCAAACTGGAACTCAGAGTACAGGGGACGGCCATTAGAATTCCTCCGGGCGCTCTACTGGCATGAATTTGTATGAACAGAGGCCCTGGTGTTGGGGCAGGGGGAGACAAAGGGTAGGGTGCATGGATGCCTGGGGAGGATGGGTCAGGTGAGGGTGAAGAGTGAGGGTGGCTGAGCACATGCCCTGGTCACCACTGACTGCAGCGTCAGGCCCCACAGGGGAAGATACAGGGTCCCAAAAGGCTCTGGCTGGTAAAACTCTGCCTGAGAGCTGTGTGGCTCTGAAGGCCAGTTGACAGACCGAATCACAAAGTGGGTGGGAGGCCTGCCTTCTATGTTCTACCCATCTGGCCCTCTCAGGACTCAATGTGGCCACCTGCAGGACAGCAGGACCCGGTGGAGTGGCTTGCTCAAAATGGGCACTGTCGCAAAGGCCAGGGTGAGATCCCTCAGAAGAAAGACAGGCAGAAAGATATAACCCAACCCTGACGAAGTCCAGAAAGCGCTTGGAGAGTGAGGGTGGGTAGGGAGAATAAATGGTACTGAGTTACTTCATGAGCACTTGTGAATGGAGGCTCAACATACCTGTGATGTTGACCCTGGGGCCTTTAGCAACAGATAAGTACTTTTATGAATGAAAAGTTTTCAGAGATTACTCTTTCATAAATGTACAGAAACTTAAGTGTTGAAAATTACCCTTTTCTAATTAGGTTATTAGTTTGGGGGTGGTTGGTTGTTTTTGCTGTTGAGTTGTAGGAACTCTTTACATATTTTGGAAATTTACCCCTCATCTGATACATGGTTTGCAAGTATTTTCCCCCATCCTATAGGCTGACTTGTCATTGTGTTGATTGTTTCCTTTGCTGTGAAGGGTTTTAGTTTGATGCGATCCCACTTGTCTGGGTTTGCTCTGTTGCCTGTGCTTTTGGTGTCATAGCCAAGAAATCATTGCCAAGACCACTGTCACAAAGCCTTTAAAACATGAGCTGAAGACTTGAGTAGACATCTTTCCAAAGAAGACGTACAAATGGCAAAAAATGTATTAAAAGATGCTCAGCATCACTATTCATCAGGAAAATGCAAATCAAAACCAAGATGAGATATTACCTTACACCCGTTAGGATGGCCATTATCAAAAGAAAGGGAAGTGTTGGTGAGGATGTGGAGAAAGGGAACGCTCATACACTGTTGGTGGGAATACAAAATAGTTCATTCACTGTGGAAAACTGTGTGGAGATGCCACACAAAAAAATTAAAAATAGAACTGCCATCTGACCCAGCAATTTTGCTTCTGGGTATTTATCCAAAAGAATTGAAATCAGGATCTTTTCATGTGCCTGTTGGCCATCTGGATGTCTTCACTGGAGAAATGTCTGTTTAGGTCTTCTGCCTAAACCTTTGTGATTGTGTTGTTTGTGTTTTTGTCATGAGTTGTATGAGCTGTTTATCCTGAAAGTTAAGCCCTTGTCAGTCACATTGTATACAAATATTTTCTCCCAGTCTGTATCTTGTCTTCTCATTTTGTTTTCAGTTTCCCTTGCTGTGTAAAGGCTTGTAAGTTTAATTAGGTCTCATTTGTTTATTTTTTCTTTTATTTCTATTGCCTTGATAGACTGACTAGGAAAACATTGCCGTGATTTATGTCAGAGAATGTTTAGCCTGTATTCTCTTTTAGGAGATTTATGGTGTCCTGTCTTATTTAAGTCTTTAAGCCATTTTGAATTTATTTTTGTGAAATCAGGATCTTGAAAAGATATCAGCACTCCAGTAATTGATCAGCCCAGGAATTCAGAATTCGCATTGCAGCGTTAGTCACAAAAGCCAAGATGAGGAAACAACCTAAATGTTCATCGATGAATGTATAAAGAAAATTGTGTATATAAATATAATGGAATATATTCAGCCAGAGGCTGTGGGAAGGGATAAGTGGGGAGTTCTATTTTAAAATTTTTAAAAATTGTTGTATATTTTTTGTGTGGGGAGGTCATTAGGTCTATTTATTTATTATTAGTTTTGTTTTTTTTTAATAGAGGTACTTGGGATTGAACCTCGGACCTCGTGCATGCATGCTAAGTATGTGCTCTACCATTTGAGCTATACTGTCCTCCCTGGGGAGTTCTTAATTAATGGGCATAAGTGTCAGTTTGCAAGATGGATAAATTCTAGAGCTTTGCTGTACGACGTTGTCCCTAAAGTTAATAATCTTGCATTGTATGCTTAAAATTTTGTTAAGACATTAGATCTCATTGTTATAATAAAATTAAAATTAAAAAGATCATACCTTTTCTTCAATTCGTTTTGAAGTTTCTGCTCTCAATCAGATTTTGCTGATATTACAAGAGAAGATTCTGCCCTCAAAGAGTCTTACCAGAGAGATACTTAAGGAATTTTTGTTTTAAATAGCAAGGTATGCTGACTGTTTAACTAGCAGTGAAACTGACAACTGGTATTCCTCTTGTTGCATTTCACATTTCATAATTCTAATCCATAATGTCACTTCTCTTCCCAATTCCAATTGACATCTTTTTGATGTACATTTTGGGTTGATGCCTGAGGACATTTAAAAACAGTTTAGTGCTGAGCATAAGCTGAATATATTCCCAGAATTCCTCTGCTAATCAATTATTTATCCCTTACAAATGCTAAGATCAAAAATGAAAAAAAAAAGTTATATATTTCAGCTTGACAGGAGGTTTAAGGAGACCAGCAGGAGCAAAATAACTTTGAGCCTTAAGTCGGTAAAAAAACGAGCTTCCCAACTCAGGTATACTTTATCTAAGTGAGGCAAAGATCCTCCTTTGCCACCAGTAGTTAAAAATAACTGTATAAATTATGAGGAAGCTATAATTCATATGGCATATTTTAGTCTTTGGGGATTTTCTAATAGAACTAGTAAGCATATTGTGATTTTTTGTTTTAATTCGAAAGGTGATAAAAATGCTAAATCACCACTTGAAGTAGCATCTTTTTATGTTTAGAGGGGGGAGGCAGTTAGGTTTGTTTGTTTATTTATTTATTTTTTATGGAGGGGCTGGGGATTGAACCCAGGACCTTGTGCATGCTAAGCACACACTCTACCACTGAGCTAAACCCTCCCCCTTCAAACAGCATCCTCTCATCCATGAACTTACCTTTGTCTACATACATGTTTAAGTAGGCTTTATTTTTTAAAGTAATTTTACATTTACAGAGAAACTGAGAGGATAGTACAAAGACTTCCCACACACCTTGACACTCATTTTCACCAATTATTAACATCTAACATTGGTACGGTGTATTTGTTATATTTAATAAATCAATATTAATATATTATTATTAGCTAAAATCTACACTTTATTTGGATTCCCATTAGGTTTTCCCAAATGCCCTTTTTCTGTTCCAGGATCCACCCAGGAAACAATGCTGAATTCAGTTGTCATCCTTCCTGTGGCGTCTCTCAGCTTAACAGTTTACCAACTTCCCTATTTTGGGTGACCTTGAAGGTTTTGAGGAGTGCTGGTCACATATTTTGTAGAAATCCCCTGTATGGAAATTTGCCTGATTATTTTCTCACAGTTAGACTGAGGTTGTGGGTTTCAGGAGGAAGAGGACACAGGTTAGTGCCTTTGTCATTACATCGTACAAGGAACGTACTGTCAACATGACTTACCACGGTGGACAGATGTTGACCTCGGCCATCTGGCTGAGGGGGAGTTTGTCAGGTTTCTCCGCTGGAAAGTTAGTTCCTTTTCCCCTTCTCTGCCCACCTTTCTGGAGGAAGTCACTGTGCACAGCCCATTCTTAAGGACTAGGGATTCTCGCTCCACCTTGAGAACCAAGTAGCTGTGTGCATTATTTGGAACCCTTCTGCAAAGGAGATTTGTTTCTTCTTCCCCAATAATTAATTAATTCAATCATCTTATATCACTATGGGATCATGGATATTTATTTTATACTTGGGGTTATAATCCAGTACTCCTTATTTATGTTATTATTCAAATTGTTCGTTTTGGCCATTGGGAGTGCTTTTAGTTGGCTCTGGTGTACCTTTGGCACACCTCCATCAATGTGAGGACTTTCTTTCTTTCTTTCTTTCTTTCTTTCTTTCTTTCTTTCTTTCTTTCTTTCTTCCTTCCTTCCTTCCTTCCTTTCTTTCTTTCTTTCTTTCTTTCTTTCTTTCTTTCTTTCTTTCTTTTCTTTCTTTCTTTCTTTTTCTCTTTCTTCTTTCTTTCTCTTTTTCTCTTTCTTTTTCTTTCTTTCCTTTCTCCCTCCGTCCCTCCTTCTCTCTCTCTTTCTCTTCTTTCTTCCTTTCTTTCTTCCTTCCTT